TATATATGGCTCTCAATACGTATATATGTACATATCCTTATGTACAGCAATAGCAAAGGGCAACTAAACAATATAAGGCTGAGAGAACAAAGTAAGGAAGTAATACGCAAACAGACAAAGGAATGTGCATTAGGAAATGAGATAAAAATATAAATAAAATACTCATACATAGAGACCTGTATATGTATATGTATATGTATATATATTACAACATATGATTACAACATACATAAAATGAAACCATTGTGGTTAGACACAAAAATATACAGGTAAGAAATGAAAGGAAAAACCAATAAAGTGTCTCAGTTACTGTAGGTGTTGAGTCACCACATGACACCAGAACAGCCTCATTGCACCTCACCTTTTCCAAGTCTCTCAACTCTACTGGAGGGATGAACACTGTTCTTCCAAAAGATATTCCCTCATTTGGTGTTTTGATAATGGTGGTGGAGACGCTGTCTAACATGTCAGTCCAAAATCTCCCATAGCTGTTCAATTGCGTTCAGACCTGGTGACTGCAAAGGCATAGCATATGGTTCAGATCACTTTCATACTCATTAAACCATTCAGTGATCCCTCATCCCCAGTGGATAGGGGCAGTGTTATCCTGGAAGAAACCTCAGACAGATCCAGGCTCTCGGTGGGTGGCCTTCTGCCTGCATGGGATGGGGTGAGTGGATAGAGAAAGAATCAAGACACAAAAACAAAACACTGAACAAGCACTGGCAAGGTTAATATGGCTTGTGACTGGTCATCAGAAACGTACAGCTCCAGAGCCAGGTATACCTCCAGGAAAGCACAGGAAAAGAGAGAGAGACACACTACGTGGTCACTGCCCTCCAGTGATCATTCTGGTGAATTTCAGTCAGGATCAGTGAGACAACACATCCCAGGAACAACATCAGAGCTCTCTGTCCAGAAGAGTGCACTGCCAGGAACAGTCCCCGTCCAAATACCATCCCTTCTATTGATCCAGCTGAGTGCTCAATTGGAAAAAATGCTTTCCAGCAAAGAGCAAAAGGGAAATTTGCTCTGTATTTCAAAAGGAAATTGCTTCTCTCCCTAGTACTACAAGTTACTTGAGTAGATATATACATGGCATTAACTGGACCAAAGTACGGTGTCTACCTCAGAAATATTGTGAGGTAAATAAAGTGAAAGATGTGGCATATATGATTATCCACAGATGCTATACAGCAATGTTATACAAATACCAATTAATAACTAATAGTGACTGTATTCAGTTTCTGAGTGATAAGTCACCATCAACTGCACATTTATTCTATCAACAGAATACATCTCCATAGTGCAAATACCAACTAACAAAACCACAATTGCTGCAATTATACAAGAGAACAAGCATTTCTATGAAATGTCATGTTTTTGATCCAACATCTAAACCAATCAGCATTAAGATCAGGTGAGAGCCAGGTGTCTCCCATCATGCCTGAACTCTTGCATTAGTAGAGAGTCTGATGAATTGCCCAGCAGACACAAAGAATCTTTTACTGTCAAAATTTCAAGCCATGCCTATATGTCCATTTTGACAGTTTTCACATGAAGACAGAAAAAGGAAAATGAGCACATTAAAAATATAACTCTACTTTCCTCATTTGGATTCATTTGGTACCTGCTCCATGCACCTTTTGTAAACTAATTAGGAAAAAAAAATCTTTCTTCTGGCAAATGAATCTAATGCAAAAGTCATTTGTTCTTTCAGTTTTTCTAAAAAGCAGCTAAGCCATTTTTTTGTAAAAATTGGAAAAGAAAAACTATAATTACTAAATACTAATTGATTCCTACCAGTTTAAAACTCATACAGAACAGACTCTGAGACCACAATACAGGCAAACACCATGAGCGTATGTAATCACATATGAAACACACAAAAGTAAAATATACATAATAAACATGTTCATTGGGAATAACCCTGCACCACTGGTTAAATGCTGAGATAGCAAATTTGTTGACTAGTGTTTTGTTTTAACCCTTAAACTGTTTGGGAGAGGTAGTGAAAACAGTTATTTTTGGCAGAGGAAAAAAGTGTACCAAATGGACATTTTGATGGGAAAGGTCAAAGCAAGATAATAAGAAATCCATGTGGAACTTTTATGAAATGATGTTACATTCAGTGGTAGAAGTAATACTCAGATCCTTCGTTTAAAGAAAAGTAGCAAAACAACTGTGAAAAAACTGTTACAAGTAATAGCCCCATATTCAAAGGGGTTATTAAGTACAAAAGTATTAGAGTCAAAACATACTTAGTACTAAAAGCAAAAGTACTCATGCAAAATGGCACATTTAACATACCTGTATATCATACTATTGTATTATGATCCACTGATGCATTATTGTGTACATCACATTTAATGTTGCAGATGGTAAAGGGGGAGCTAGTTTTAACTTGCTTATTTGAATTTAATTTGAATTACTGCTCAGGAGTCTGTGAATTTTCTACCATAGATCAATGAGGTTGTATAATAATGCTGTATTTTTTGTATTAATTTGGTTATGAAAAGTAACTAGCAACAAAAGTTATAAAATAATATAGTGGAGTAAAAAGTATTTGCCTCTAAAATGTAGTGAAGTCAAAGTATGAAGTAACAGAAAATAAAAATATTCATGTATAGTACAGATACCTCAAAATTGTACTTAAGTACAGTATTTGAGTAAATGTACTTAGTTACTTTCCACCATGTTCACCTTGGTTCCCCAGAGGGTGCAATCATGTACCATCCTATTTCAATCATGTTCTTTTTAATGAGTATTGAGCCAGTGCGGTGATGTTACTTCACTCAAAACGGTTCCATTTTTGAACCACACCGACTACGACACTACACAGGGGTGTTACCTTTTTTCCTTTAAGTTCAAACAGTGAAGAAGCGACTTCAGTAAGCTGTCAGTGCCTTTCTGTGTAATGGCCCCACGGCTGTAATGACCCACATAAAAAAGTGAAATACACACTGCCAGAGCAAGTGATCCATTTGTCACTTGCGTGTGTGATTTATGAACCACCTCCTTCCTTCAAGCTACACCATCTACAAAAGGGAAGTCTCTACTTGCTAGTCACTGTCACAGTGCAACAAGCTGATGCCATTGGGTTGCTACCAGTAATAGTCTTTTACTGTTGCATGACAGTGTGTCTCATGACTGCATCAGAGCCTCCAGCTCTCCTAGGGGAACCATAAAATACAAAACATTTTATTCTCCCTTGTATTTTTTGTGAAAAGAAAATTTCAACTCTGGAAGCTGCTGCATTGACCCTGTTTTCACAGTCACCCTCATGAAGCATTCGATTAACAAAACAGTTCCACACAGCGGTGATCATATACAGTTTAATTGGCAGTGCCACCTTTATTGTCTGTGCTGTCAAGCTTTTTTCTGTTGGGTGGAAATAACTTTGATAACTCAAGCTTAATTCTAAACCATGCAAAAATTGTTACCGGTGCAGTACTGGTGGTAACAATAGCTCTGGTTTATACTATTAATATGCTTATTCAGATTCAGATTAGGCAATATGCTTTGACTAATTAAACACTCACATATATCCAAAATGTAAGGGAAGATGGAGTGTAATAAATACCATCAGGTCACTGTTTTCCTTCCCTCAACTACACATATCATCACTCGACTGTCAGCTTTCTCCTTAGGGTCTGGGAGCTGTTTAGGAGGGGATCATATCATCCAATGGGCCATGTCTCTTCTGTCAGGTCAGGGAGCTGCATAACTCCAGTTTCAACAATCAAACTAAATCATGATAAACAGTAAAACAGAGGAAAGTTTCCACTTTGTAACCATAAAACAACATTACTGCTGCCTTGGCCGACTCCCAGATGGTGGCCTTTTCTCATCTTGCAGCACAAAACACTGACCATTCCTATGTAATTCTATTGCATATTTTGTCTTGCCAAGTAATGAGCTATGCTTATAAGGGGTGACTCTTGAGTGAAGGGAGAGTGGCTGGCTACCACAGCAGGAGATAAGGGTGATGGAGAGAAGTCAGATAAAATGATGGATCAATATGGCGGATACACTAGTATCACTGCTTAGCAAGGTCATCATGTCCTTCTGCCATATCACTGGCTTTAATGAAGCGCTGGGGATCTAATGGCTTCCCATTGACTAGCACAGCAGGAGGGGCTGGAGTTAATGTTGTGCTTATCTACTGTTTCCATGAAGGATGGGCTGGAGAGATGGTCTAAGGCATGGAGGAGAACATCACTCTATAATCCAAAGGCTGTCGTTCAAGTAAACAACATTGGAAAATTAACTCAGAGCTAACTGAGCTAAATATGTAATATATACATACAGTATATCACATATTAAGAGTCCAGGGACAAAAGCTCCTCTGCTTCCTTTCACTATGTTGAAGTTGGCTTTGGGGATGACAGGGAACATGACACATCAGAGACAGGCAGCAGCACTGTTTCATGTTACACACAGCGGGTGTTGAGTAGAGCAGTGAGCTGGTGTTTCAGGAGGACTGAATATCCTTTTCATCCATTATCTATACCGCTTATCCTGTAGAGGGTCTCAGGGGGCTAAAGCCAATCCCAGCTGACACTGGTTGAGAGGCGGGGTGCACAGTGGACCAGTCATCAGTAGGACTGATTGTTTAGGATCAAATCTTTGTGCAGTCACTAGAGCCAATCCAGAGTAAAATGCACTGTAGTGGCCATCTGTGTCTTGAAACCGCACCAGCCACTTGAGTATATTACTTTATCACTCCTTTGTGTGCCACTGATGCAGCAGAGCTCAGACACGGTGGCTTTAACTTGTTTCCATTTGCTTTCACTATTGTATCTTAGCTAAAAACCAGTCCTACTGAGATGCATTGTTTCCTGAAATGGCTGGAAAATGAGTAGCTGTGGGTTGCCACCATAAACAAAAGCTGTGAGTGTATTGCACAGTCTCTGAGAAGCCAGCAGACCTGCACCTGCAAACTCAGGATCACAAATATAATCCATGCAAATATATTTCAGCTGGACATTATCCTGATTCTGGATATACTCAGATTTGACTAACTCTCTCTCACACACACATACTGCTGTTTTCCATTTTACACATGGCACACTCACACACACACAAATATTTACACAATCATTAAAACAATATTTACAAGTTCTAAAAGCTTTATTTCCCCAAACCCACACCTTGTCTTTTCTAATGTACAGCACTGTAAATTTGTTTGTCAATCCATCCATATGTACAGTGTTTCCTGCTCCCCAGAGCTATGGATGGATACCCTGAATGGATGGTCATGTTAGCATTTGATCAACCTGTCACCCCTGAGAAGGCCTGGCTAATGTGACTCTAGGATACCATCTAGAAAGGCCTTGAATAACATTATTTATTCAGTCACTGTCAACAAGGAGACAAAAAAAGGCTCACTCAAAAAATGTTGCTTTAAATATTTTCTCTTGTACTTTAAAAACATGTTGGTAAAACCATGTAAAGAAACAAACAAACAAAAAAAGAAAAAGCATTTTTCCTCTCTGTATGCGATACAGAGCCTACAATAGCATAATCTACTTTTTTTCTATGATAGCAGTTCAATATGATACAGATAACAATAAAATCTCTGTAGTTACTCTGATATCTACATATAATTTGCCTTCTCTAGGTTCTTTATTTTAAGAAAAGTTTCAGTTCTTTAGGTCAGTGTTCCCACTGAGTGATAGAAACAAACAGTGAAGATTAAAGGCTGGCTGGTTCACTGAGTAGTGCGACTGGGGAAAAAAATCACATCAATATGGCGGGGAGACCCGATGGCTTCGCTTACCCAGAAGGACCTGGGGGTCCTTAATAAACAAAATGTACATAATGATCAGGTCTTGTAGAAGCACTAGTACATGATGGCAATTACAGGGTTTTCACGACAGATGGCACTGCTGCATCACAGACAACTATACATATTGCACAATGAGAAATGCATAGGATTTGCTCCAGTGCTGTAATTTAAGAAAACATAATTTGGTATGAGTGTCGAAGAAAGGGTGATGTGTGTGCTCCAAGTCCTTGCCAACAGTCCATTTTGGCAGAGGTGAGGGTTGAGTATCAGTAGATATGTTGGATAGGAGGGCTGGAGAGACAGCACGTGGGTGTGAACAGCAATATGACAGTTGATGTTGCACTTGTGACACTTGTCTCAAACACTTGTCTCTGATGTAGCAATGTTTTGCTCAGTGGAAGTCCTACAAAAGTTCATCTGCTCTGCTAAAAAGTGACACAGCAATGTCATATGGCGCTGAAGCATCCTCTCCGCAGCGCGAGAGCAGCTATAAATGGAACGGCTAAGCCCCGAGTCGCAACATGAGGAGACTGACCATGAGCATCAAGCATCAAGGGCAGCACTGTCAAGACAACCTATTGTTTCAAATGACCCTACACTGACAACTCAGAGTTGGCCCTTGGCTGTATTGGAGTACATAATACATTTGTATACAGTATAGAGTAGATAAAGCCACTGACACACTGAAAACACATCATAAACATAAATATAATGAATGTATTGCTTTAAATGTGAGACTTGTCTTATTCATGGATAAACCATAAAGTTATCATTCTCACCTGATTGTTTTTTTTTTTAAGTAAAACACTGAAATTGACATGGGATTGTAAAAAACATACACCTACAGCAAAAAAGGTGAATATCAACATAATTTTCATTGCTTTTGTAAGTAAATTAGTTTTAAGGTGCTTTTAATGTGGTTGCCATGGCACTGTGCTTTGTTCCCTCCCACGCAATACGTAGAAACTGCAACAGGATGTCAATCAAGTACTGGCTGAGCGACTTCCCCACCCACTGTCATCCAAAGTTTTCAGTGAGCTCTGAAAGCCCATCAAGTCCTCAAGTTTTCCATTGTGTTTTCATTATGTGTGCGATTGTATGCGAGTGTGTTTGGCGGAGGCTTTCCCTGCTCCTCATCATCTCATGCTGAGATAACGCCAGAGAAAATGAAGGGCAACAGCAAGGTGACGACAGTAGAATGAAGGAGGAAAGGAGAAAAGAGCACTCACGAGGACAGAGAGATACTGGCATTTTTGCAATATAAGACATCCATAACTGCAAAAATGTTTTCATGCTGCTTGCTTGGCAAGAACAGCATGTTTAAGCTGCAATGTGTCAATGATGTGCTGGAGCAAAAAAAAAAAAAAAAAGTCATTCTGAAGGGAGATTTTCAAATTGAAACGAAGCCAAGTTGACAAGCTGACCTTTTCTGTACCTTAATGAGAAAAGAGGGAAAAGACTCGGAGGGCTATGACTGTGGCTGTGACTCAGAAGGAAGGGGAGAAAGAAATGTTTTAATTGTACAAATTAAAGGCTGAGGGAAACAGTGTTAAGGGAAGAGCAAGAGGTACAAAATGGTAATAATGGGGTTTTAATGTATGAACATAAAGTCTGTAGTTATAGATGCACATATGCTTCACTATGAGGACTCATATTTGTCTTTCATATATGTAAGTATGCGGCGGTACTTGACCAGAGGGTTATCTGGTAATGGCCATATTCAAGATGCAATATGATAACATTTGACTTCAGATGGTCCTTGGAGCTTGTTACTTGAAAACACTCATCAAAATGAGACTGGCTTGTCCACCATACAGGAGAATACACCACCTTTTATAAACCCCCCAAACCAATAAGTTAAAAATTAGTACAAGAGCATCAAGTAAAGGGACCTTATTTTGTGGCAACCACACTAAACATACATCTACACTCTTCTATCTTTGTTCTCTAATAAATTACACAATAATATCTGTAATCCAAACCATGTTGACCCATGAAATGGCTATAAAAGCGGCCTCTGTGCACCAGTCACTGTCTGGAGGCCTGTCCTGCTCCTTTGGTCATGATAAGAGGAGCAGAAAGAAGGCATGATGGGGGATCTTGGCCTTTATGATAGGAACAGCTCTCAGGCCTCATGGCCTACTGAGCATAAGGACTTGTGTACAGTTTCCTTATTAAGTCTGGCGGTATGCATAGTTTGCGTGTAGCCTTTGTCATGTAGGTCACACTAAAGGAGGGCCTGGGGCTTGATAAAGGGACAGGGGTGGAGGTCAGATGAGAAGTGGGTCAAGTCTCTAATAGGGGGAGAAGATGATGGGTGTGTGTGTGGCCCGCAGTGGTCCTGGGGCAGGTCGAAACAGTGCAGGACCCAGGAAGGGGGTCTGGATGAAGGTGGTGGTGCCCACTGGGTGGCGCAGAGCCAGTGGGTTAGTCGTCACTGTGCACAGCGTTGGTGGAGTGAGGGGGCTGGGCAGGAAGCCAGTTGTCAAGCTCTTGGTCAGTTGCTTCTGCAAAGCCAGTTTGGTCTGGAGAAGACAGGAGGGGGAATGATAAGAAGTGAGAGAAGAACAAGTGAGGGCAGAGCATGTGTAGTGGGAAAAACATGTTTCCCAAATCATGGCCCTTGTTTGCACAAACAGTGGCAGTAGAGAAATACATGTTCATACTAAAAACCAGACAGAACTGAACTCCTGATAGTTTGCCGCATGAAGTCATCAGTCAGATAAACATAACATGCTAATGCTATAGGCTACAGCATGGACACACCTTAGCCTATTTCAGTCAGGACAAGGGTTAAATCGCAGGTATTTACTCTACAACTCTATGATATTAAAAAGATAGTTCAGATCTTTTTTTTTTGTTGAAATGTTTTACTCATTTATGCATGATCTTAGATTAGATTAAGACCCTATATGCAGATATTCTACCAAGCTACCAAAAATCTTTGACAAAAACCTGTCAAACCATAAAATCTCATGCCCTTGTTATAAAATACTCACCCTCTCTGTAAGGTTGAAAACAGTTTTAAAATGTTTTAAACTCTTTTACAGGGAACAACAGCTGTGCTTAGTTTGCAAGAGGTGGAGGAAATAATTTCTCAGAGGAATAGTTAAGTACACCACCTACAATGCTGTAATTGTTTGCAACATAATAGACTTACAGAGGAAAGTTTGAGACTCTGGTGCAAAAGTTCATATGAATGCCTTAATATGTTCTTGTTGAGTCTTGGGGCTGCCATTTTAATCCAGTGTAAATGTTGTGAATCCATACTAACTACAGATACTGTCTTCTGCGAATGAGCAAACTATACATTTTTCAAGCCCATAGGAGGATAAGTATATGATATGCAGAAGCAGCAGACCCTTTTCTATTGTGGAACTATTAACTAAGTACTTTCATGATTGACTTGTTGATGTTGACGTTCCCGTGAATGACTGAAAAATTTTTCAAGTTCTATGTTGAACATATTTTTGTAAACTTTCCACCAGCCTCCACAAACTATCCAAAGGGTGAACAGTCTGAGCTAAAGTCCATCATTACTTATGCTACGAGGGAAGTGTTTTTACCCAGTCTGTATTATATGTTTCAAAAACTTTCTTCGAACAATCTTTTATCTGCGATGTTACTGAAGATAGAAACATGGGGTTCCTTAGAATATGTCAAAGTGCAACTTGCACATTCAAGTTTTCACAAAATGTGTACTCAGTGTTATTTGGAAATGATCATTTTGAAAAGTAAATGCAAGATTTTTTTAGGTTTTACCAGCGATAACGACAATGCATCACATTATGTCAAAAAGGGGAGACCTCTCTTCTTCAGTGCACTATGGACTAGTGAGTATGATTGGCTTACATTTAGTGAGTTGAACTTTTTCCCTAGTTTTACTTAGACTTGACAATTTTTCATTGCAGTGAGTTGTTTTGTGCATATTCCACAAACTGTCATGCCTAAGTGCGTTTGACAGGGCTTTACTTCTGCATCTGTATCAAAAAATGTGGTCATGTACAGCGCTCATTTTAGACAGGAAGATTATGTTCCAGGCCATATAATGGAGCTCATGATGGGATGTTGAAGCCAGGACTGTGTGAGGCTGACAGGTGCAGCTACTTTGGTACACACCTGCTTCATCAGTTCCACTGTCAGCAAAAGCTTCTTGTACCTGCCACTGGTCACAGATCCAGCTTGATAAAAGTGGGATGTGTGCATAATAAGCCCTAAATTTGTAAGCATGATGGTTTAAATCATGAAAAGCAAAGTTTGCTAAGTATTTATTGTTGTAAGGCATCATAGCTAACCTGTACATCCCACCAGCTATATTCTCCAGTTTACGTTCTAAAACAACTCCAAATGTTACTATAGTGACATGTATGTATACATATATAATTTTTAAAGAAACCTTCATTCCCTACAAACTGATTCACTTGGGTTGATAACCTGCAAGCTGCACTTTAATAATCATGCAATCATGCGGTCTATGTCCACAGTTTAAATTATTTCAGTTTAGTTTCTGAGAAATTAGGCTTTCCCCATTGGTTTGTTATAGCAGATGGCTCTAAATATTACAATAGCCATGAGCCTCGACCTCTGTTGCTACAGAGAAGAAGCTGGTGATTTGAAAATGCTTCATTGTTGTAACTGTGAACAAAACCTTCACACCACATTTGCCAAATTAACAAAAAATGGACCCCAAAGTGAAACGATTTAAGCTCTTATTTGATTGGTTTAATGTTGCTTAACCAGTTTTCTCAGCAGCAAAATGTTTAGCTCCCTCTTGACATTACTGGTGCACATCACAGAATTTTAGGGTCTGTGATTGGATTATTTATTTATTTAGCCAAAATGCACCCTTGGAGACCTAGTCCACTCTGGCTCTGGAACCAAACTCCTGGAGAGGGGTTGGACTCCTTTTCCAGAGTTGCCCAGGGTGAGAAGTGCCAGGCAGATGTGGGGATGCTCACAAATCCCAGACTGAATGCTGCTGTGCTGGAGATCTCCTCGTGGAATGAGAGGGTTGCCTCTATGCGACTTAATGTTGCTGGGAGGAAAGTTCTGACTTTTGTTTGTGCCTATGCACTGAACATTAGTTCAGAGTATGTGGCCTTCTTGGAGACCCTTGCTGGGTCCTTGAAGGAGCACCACCTGGGGACTCCATAGTTCTACTGAAGGACACCAACAATAATGTGGTCAATGATGGAGAAACCTGAAAGGGGGGTGATTGGGCGGAATGGCCTGCCTGATATAAACTCGAATGGTGCTTTGTTATTAGACGTTTGTGCTAGTCATGGATTGGCCATAACAAACACCATGTTTGAACATAGGGCTGTTCATAAGTGTACTTGGTACCAGAACACCTTAAGCCTTAGATCAGTGATGGAATTTGTTGTTGTATCACTGGATCTAAGGCCGTATGTCTTGGACACTCAGGTAAAGAGAGGAGCAGAGCTGTCAAGTGATCACCACCTTATGATGAGTTGGATCAGATGGTGGGGGATGCTGCTGGACAGACCTGGCAAACCCAAACATGTAGTGATGGTGAGCTGGGAATGCCTGGCTGAAGCCCCTGTCTGGGAGGTCTTCGACTCACACTTCCAGAGTAATTTCTCTCACATCTCAGGTGGAGGCTGGGACATGGAATCCGACTGGGCCATATTCAAATTCCTCATTTTAAAGACATCTGTTCTGAGTAATGGCCAGGAGGTCATTGGTGTCTGTCGTGGCATCAACCTGAAGACCTGCTGGTGGACACAAGCATCAGGCTGAAGAAGGAGGCCTACAGGGCTTGGCTGGCTCAGGGGTCTCCCGAAGCAGCTGATGGGTACCAGCAGGCCAAAAGGACTGCAGCTCGAATGGTTGCAGATGCAAAAAGTCAGTGTGGGAGGAGTTTGGTGTAGCTGTGGAGAAGAACCTTTGGTTGGCCTCAAGGAAGTTTTGGCAAACTGTGCAGTGACTCAGAAAGGGAAAGCAGGGCTTGGCCCAGGTTACATTTGGCAGGGGAGGAGAACTGCTGTCTCAGAGTGGGGATATTGTCAGGTGGTGGAAGGAGCACTTAAACTACACCCGTCTAACATGTCCTCCAAGGAGGAGGTAGAGGTGGAAGACTTGGGGGAAACCTCACCCATATCCCTGGCAGAGGTCACTGAAGTAGTCAAAAAGCTCCTCGGTGGCAAGAGACCAGGAGTGGATGAGACTCACCCTGTGATGCTGAACGTTCTAGGCATAGTTGGGCTGTCTTGGTTGATATGCCTCTTCAGTGTTGCATGGAGGATTGAGACAGTGCCTGTGGACTGACAGACTGGGCTGGTGGTTTCCATTTTTAAAAAAGGGGACTGGAGAGTGTGTTCCAATTATTGGGGTATCAGCCTCCCTGGGAACACCTATGCCAGGGTGCAGAAAAGGAGGCTCTGACCAATTGTCGAACCTAGACAATCGGTCGGGATGAGAGTTAGCACCTCCAAGCTTGAGGCCATGGTGCTCTTCTGGAAAATGGTGGACTACTCCCTCTGGTTTAGGAGTGAGTTGCTGCTGCAATTGAAGGAGTTTAACTATCTCAGGTTCTTGTTCATGACTGAGGGTAAAACCAAGTGTGCCTCCCTTTGGATGTCTTCTGGGCATGTCCAACTGGTAGGAGACCCTGGGGCAGACCCAGAACATACTGGAGAGATTATATATTTCACATCTGGGGTGAAATATATAATGCCTCAAATGGGAATGCCTCAAAATCCCGACTGAGGAGCTGGAACATGTCACTGGGGAGAGGGACATCTGGACTACCTTGCTGAACCTGCTGCCACCGCGACCCCACCCTGGATAAGTGGATGATAATGGATGGATGGATGCAAGAACCATCAATTGTATTTTTAAAGCAGTTGTTTTTAAAGTGGTTATTATGACTCAGCTGGGAGAGTTTCATGCCCTCGAAAGCCCTAGCAGTTCTCCAACTGTGAGTCACGTAACACTGTCTATTGGAAAAATAAATGGAATGTTATTCCGGAACATGGGTGCCTGAAATACCTCCACTCATTTAATAACTCTATTATCATCAGGAAGTAAAATGAATAGCACCTCAAAGTAAAAACACAAAACAAACATAAAACTATCCTTTTAATATAAACATGCTTTCTTCAAAGTTTCTGATCAGTCCCCTGCCCGTGGCCAGGCCTAAAGTTCAGCCAGCTGAAGCTCTTGCCCTCCAATCCAACCCCAGTCTCGGCCTCTCCTGCCACTGACCTGTGAGGAGAGGGAGGTGAGGTTGTACTGGGTGAATGCTTTCTTCATGGCCGACACAGCCACGCCTGCATAGCCACTCCATCTCACGTTCTGTAGGATGGAGGAGGAGGAGGAGTAATGGGGACAAGAAGAGATGGGGAGGTGTGTATATGACAGGAGCAGAGAACTGATTAATCTGGAGTGCTGATTCAGGTTGCTGTTGTCAGAGCTTGTCAGTGGGGAGAGCAGGACTATTTTAGACCTGTCTCAGGGGTAGGGGACTCACAAAGTACAACAGTGTGCTTAACCTCTATTACAGTACAGACACACAAACAATGCTGCCTCCCTGAGACATGGAAGCCCCTAAGCACAATGTAATGAGATCTGTGTGTGTATGTTTTTTTTACTGTATGCCTGTGGGGACTGGGGTCAAATCATTTAACTGTAACAGAAATAAATTATAACTGGTGTTTAAAAAATGCATTCGTTTACAAGCTAGACTGAATTGATTCCAGTTTGACTTATGTGTACAGTATGTTCAAGCATATCTGCTGTAAGAGTGGAGCAATTATGTTTTGCTTGTCTTCCTTGAGCATGTGTGGATGTGTGCATATTTGCATGACAGTGTTTTGTTTGCCTGTGTCTTTATGCCGAGACTTACCGCTAAGCTGGAGCTCGGCTGGCTCTTGCTGTGGGGTGTAAATTTGGGCTTGGGTGGTTTTCCGGCCAGCCTATCCTTGTGCCTTCTGCTATTCATGTGCTGTGGAGACCAGCGGAAATAATCATTAGAGAGGTAGCAAGCATCTGTTGTACAAAAGTGGAACAACTTCAAATGTTATCTGCTGAATTAATAATAGATACACATTGAGTATGACTGAAGTGCATAGAAATTACATCGTATTACTACTGCTGCCACCCTATCTCTGTCTCTGGCTACAGCACTAACAAGCTTATTTCCTCCTGGGAGAGAGGATGTTTATATAAGACCGGTGGAATGCATTTAAGGCTAAAGCAGCCTTGGTGTTCACACATGCCAGCATATCTTGCATCTTTTCCTTCATTCAGATATAGCATTTAATGAACATCAAAAGGGGAGAAATTACATCCCCCAACCTGGATTTGCTGCCAATGTAACCAGAGAATTAAATGCAGGAAGCATTAGTAGCTTGCAATAATGAGTGGTAAATAAACCCCTGCTCAACAAGGAGCTTTGCAGTTAGTTATAGCATCAGTGTGGAAAAATAGTAACTGCTCGAATGCACTTCACACTCGCAAACTGCTTTCAATGGCTCCATTCATGTCGCTATAAATGAAAATGCTGCCTTGATTTGAGCACACCCCCATTTCCTCCATCAAGGAGCTGTTAAAAGGGACTTTTGATTAAGCAAGGTCTTTAAAATCCCATCATTCATATTTATCATTTTAATACATCATTTGTGCTAGCTTTTGTAATTGTGACATTACAGGTCAGTCTCGGTTTCCATGTGTAATATCACTCTCTTGATGTGTAAAATAATTGCTAACTACGGTATGTGCAGGCAGTTTTATTCTCTGATTAATTCTGTGGCCACATCATCTATCTGTAGAGGTGAGGTAATAATATGCATCGTTTTCTCCACAGCCTGACATGATTTGGCTCAAGAGCTTTTCCCTGCAGAGTCAACAGCACTTCTGAACCCTTTTGAATGAAATCCTATCAGGTGAGCAACACTCACTTGGTATGCCCTGACAAATCTGCAGGACTTCTCCAAGCCCCTGCTTCTCTCCTTATCTTTCATTTCATACAGTACATGCAGGAGAGAGAAGTCTCAGAGTGACAGTTCTTGCTTCTTGTCCTCCTACTCTGCTACTTTGCAGCCCAAAGCTTCTGCGGTCCTATATGGTGCTGTAAGTCATGTTTTATATGTTGCCACTGTGCTTCACATATATTTCTTCCATTCCTTTGTCTACTCAATTAGATTTATTCAGCCATCTTGAAGAATTACTCAACATCTATTAATTTTTGTCAATTCTCACATCTCTCTTACAATGAATTATGGCAAATGTCAACTATACTACATACATACTGTATGTGCAGTATGACCTAAATGTTCATTTTACCTGGCTCAGCTGGGTCTCAGAGTTCACAAAGATCTCACACACTTCACACTGGAAATTTTTGCTGGGCACCCCGACAGTGCCTTTGCTGCCCAGTCGCTTGCTCTTGCATCCTACACGAGCTGCCACCACTTTCCCCCTGCGTCTTGGCAAAACACTGTGACCTTCCAGCATAAGTTTGTGCTTTGTACCTGGTGGAGAAAGTAGTAAGTTGACTAACTTGACAGAAATGATTTTGGTACAAGTTAAAAATTACAGGCCTTGATTACAAACATAAACTGCAAATGTAAAAAGCCTTCCCATTTGAAGAGAAAAGTATAAACTTCAGAGTTATGCCATGCTCTTACCACTGTTATGTGCTTCCAGCTGAGAGACGGAGTTGACTGTGACTTTACAAACAGGACAATGGAGGTGAGCTTTGCTTTTCTTGGGATCTTTGTCCTCCTCCCCGTTTGTGCTGGATGCCTCTGCAGGGCTGCCCGACTCAGCGGTCGGGCCAGCGGCCTCAGTGACCTCTGTGACTTCTGGGGCGCTGGTGTCTGAGGCAGTCTCTGAGGGTTGAGAGGAAGGTGAAATCTGGGGAGGGGAAAGGGTGACCAACTCCACAGAAGAAACCTCAGACACCAGTGTCATCATAACTGAGCTCTTCAGACTCTCTTTGGACTTTGCCTCCAGGCTGGCTGGTTCTATATCAGACTGAAGACCTGCAATAGTAATAAAAGAGAACGGCAAAGTACAAAATACTTATTATAGACAATTTCGCACAGTGATGCATAACTGATTATTTTTTGATGATGGAGGTTTGATACCAGCTTTGTCCCAGCAGAGAAACTGGTCTTGGTGTTGAGGCTGGACATGTGGAGAAGCATTTAGCCTCAACAATAGAGTAGATATGCAACTCCTACAGTAAATACTGTAACTCCTAACTGTAGGCTGGTTGCTTTTTAAACCATAATGTCTTGATTTCTATTTCTACATGTGATGTGTGGGTAAAGACACCATTGGCAAAGCTGTACTGAGTTATAAAAGTAATAGACAACAATAATTTAAGTGACAATTACTTTTTGCTGATTAATTAGTAAGGTATGCAATTTCCTTTTCAATATGTAATGTACTAGTTTTACGTTTCCCTTGCCCAGCACAGATTGTAAGTTTGCCTAGTCGCAAGTGATATAACCCCAACAAAGCATGATGTTGTCTAAAAAAATTAAATTCAATAAATCGGAAGAAAAATCCTCTTGCATACTTAAAGGATAAGGCCATAATTTTCTATATTAATGGTATTTTTAACAATATTTCTTCATACAGAGACTATAATGGACAATGAATTGCCTCAATGTCTGTCAGCTGTAAGTCCTGGATTAACTTGATCATCTGTGTGATAGATCTCCGTTGTTGTTAAAAAAAGGATTAAAACACAACAGGAAAACACACTGCTGCACTGGGTGACATGTTTTTTTCATTATGAAACCCCAGACCAAGCTAAGTCACCCCAAAGGCTCTGAGCGGCCTTAAGTTTATATGAATCAGAGTCAACTGCACATGCATGTGATTTTGTGCGAGGCTCTCAGCTTCACTTACATTGCTAGCACATCACACTCGATTTTGGGTTTTGCTAATGACAAAATATGGCACCCAGTGCAGTGTTGTCTTCCGCTGGTTTATTTTTAATTGTTTTTGAACAACAAAGACGGTCTATGGCACACACAAATAAAATAATCAAGGACCGACATGCTGACAGACTTTAACTGTGAGTAGAGGCAATTCATTGTCGGTTTTAGTCTCTGTATGTGCAGTGTTTAACATAGTGTTAATATAAAAAGTGACAAGCCTTATCCTTTAACTAGCAAAACACTTTTTAGACAAACTTATCTTTTTGAGTTCAAATATAAGTCTGTACAATTAATCCCCAAATTTCTCTTTTAGCACAATATCAGAGGCAACATCCTTTTTAAGTGTTGGCTTTATGGTACTTTCTGATATAGTATCAGGCTTTGCTTTAAACCATATGGAACAGGCCAGATTAGCTTTGGTTTAGGCAAGTAAATGCCATCAGCCACCCCCTCCCTCCTTTTTGCCTTCCTGCTCCTTCACTCTCCCTCACTATTCAAATATCAAGTGGACCCGGAGTCCCAGTCAATACAAACAAACCCATCGACTGCCAGGCCCTGCCGATAAGTCACCGGAGTTTCATTACACATCTACCCTTCACCCCACTGCCCTCCCAAGGGAGCCATACACCTCACCCCAGAGCACTGTGCAGTGTACTTGCTGAATATCTCCATTTCATTTAGTGTGCTTTCTCCTTGTACACACACAACCCTCCTCAATGCAACTGTGCTCCATTGATTTTCCCTTTTACCTCACAGAGTAAATTCATCATTTGAGATAAGGGCCTTCCTCTCTTGTTCCCGCCAAAGAAAAAGAACCTATATAGGAGCAAGATTAGACAGTCCCCTCGCTATAATGAGAGTGACCCCTGGGGGATTGAGCTTTTCAGGGGTGGGGGCTTATGTGAAAGACACGGCCACCTGAGAAGTCTCTAGAGGGGAGTGATACTGATCAATGGATTTAGCTGGAACCTTGCAGAGGAAGACACGGAGGCTGGTGGGAATCAAAGCCCTCTAAAAATCCAAAAGCTTGGATCATGAAGGGCCTCATTCAACAGAGAATCATTTCAGATATCCCTGCTGAGTTTAGGGTATCCTCGTTGTTAAAAAGCAAAAAACTTTAAGTAAGTCACGACACGGAAAGTCACCAGTAAATCTTCTACCTTTGTACAGATAATGGTCTTTGAGTCCCATAATTACTTTAAGTAGTTAATCATCAGGAAATGTTAATTATTCCAGTCAATAAGGGAAATAATCATTAGTTGCAGCCCTGATGTAAATCTGTAAGAAGAGTTGCTTTCACAGCACATTATGGTAAAACATGCTATGAAACTGGTAAAAATTATGATCAGTATTAAAGCTATCTAACACTCTTTTGTCTGCCCTTTTGTCCCTCTTCCTACCCTCTAACCATCCACATGATGAGAAAAACTGCCACCAACTTTAGCAAACTGTCAGACCAAAGGCCAAAAAGAAAAAAAAATCAAATTATGGATATTTGGATCAATTTAATGCAGGCAATCATCAGTTTTCCTGAATAGAATTTAATCGATGTTTTAATAGTCCATTTAAAGAACCTTTTAAAGTGTAAACACATTTGAAGAGATCTCTATTCAGGAGATTGATCCACTGACAACTTTAACCACAGCCAAACAGCAAATGACTATCAATACTGGACTCAGCATACGCTCACATACAGACACTGACAGGCGACAAGGCAGCCTCAGAACATAAATAACTTCCCTGGGGAAAAATCCTTGCTTTAAATGATCATTACTGTGGTGACAGACAGAGTCCCTGTGAAGACGGTTTCAACAGCAGAGTCAATCAAAGCCGAGGGTGATCATACTTGACACGACTGATGCAGGCCCTGTGTCACTGCTGCTCTCTCACTGTCTGCCTACTCCATCCTTTCCTGGTCTGGGATGTGGTAAAAAACAATGATTATTCCTTTTGTAGGAGTGAAAACATTGTCTCTGCTCTTTCCTGGCTACCTCCTGTATGTACAAATTGTTGTGGTACTATAAATAACAGAATATTTGATGTTGGAAAGTTTTACTGTATTGTGAGGATTTAGGATTTTTGTAAAATATTGGTGATTGGTTAAATGTCCGCATCTTCACACCTCAAGCATCAGCATTACAAGCACCGTGGGTAAACACAGCTGACTACATGTGTGAGAGAGCAGCTGCCCCTCCCTCCTCTAAATAGAGACCGACGCAGGGAAAATACAGTGGAAAAACAAAGCAGGATGCTCCGCATCAACCCTGGAGGCTGTGCTTGTTTATGGTTAAGGGTAGTACGGGGTATACGGCTTCTTAGGTTCTGATAGTGCAAATGCAGCGTAACTATTGATAGTCCCTCATTTGCTTCGGGTGATTATTTATGCAGATTAAATTTATATATAAGTGTTTTGCTATTACTCATCATTCATGTGACAAGGCCCTGGCTCAAAAGTACTTTGAAACCAATTTGTGACCCATCACTTGCTTTTGTAAATAGTGTATTTGAGTGCTATCCAGCACCTCCCAGTCAAAAGGTACAGGTCAATGGCAGCGGCCTCTTCCTCTAAGTGTGCATTAGTAGATATTCTAATGGAGCTGACGAGGCTGACCTTGTGGATCTAGACGATGTCTGTTTATTCTAAGCCACACAGACCTCTTAGAGGAGCAGCCGGCAGGTGTGTTATTGGTTCCTGCTGGCAGACGGTGTGGGCATTACCCTCAGGCAGCCTTCAGTTTCATGGCATACATAACTCATTTCACTGCGTGTTAATTTGGAGTGCTATTCAATTACAGGTTGCCATTGTGCTGCATGCCACCACTGGCGTGCACTGCTGCATTTCAATTTCACATTAGGCCAATCACACAATTGGGCTTATTAAAGAGTGTTCCTCCTCACAAAATTGCCTTGGAACTGTAAAATTATTCACAGCATAAAAACTAGCTATGACTTATCGACTTTCTTTCTCAACTGACCCCCCTCTTCCATGCCACTTCTGCTTTCTTCTTCCCTCTCTCTCTGTCTCCTTCATTCATTTCATCTTATCTTTCATTTTCCATACATCGCCTTGTTTCGTCTCTGTCTCTGCCTCCCTCTTTCAGAGCTCTCCTTTGCAATGGGGGATTATTAAAACGAGGTTTGATGAAAGTGTTATCAGGCTTTTGGTCCTTTGTCCACTTTCTCCTTTCTCAAGGAGACTGAGTACTCAAGGCCAAAAAAGGTGTGTCCATGTGTACATGAGCATGAGATGGGCTGAAGTAAAAGTCTTCTTCTGCTCTTCTACCAAAACCTACATATCTATTCTCTGATGTTAAGTCTAATATCCAAGTCCATTTTGAAATTTGGCTCAGATAATGTTCTTCTCCGGAGCAGGGGAAGCAGAGGGGAGGATGAAGTAGGAAATAATAGAGAGGGGAAAACTGCGCCACAGCTCCTTCGCTCCCTTCATCTTGGATGGATAAATAAAAATTGTGGACCCAGATATAGTGTGTGTGCAACATGAGAAGATAATAGGCTCACTGCAGTCAAAATGCCATAGGAGCAATTCATGCTCTTAGAACTAAAGTTACAACCATGTCTTGTGGCAAAGTCAACGGTCATATTCTGCTGAAAGAAAACCAGTTTGCTCCTTTTATTGAAAGTTAAAATGTCTGTTTTACACCATGTATATAACAACATTTCAACTTTTTTGTAAAAGAAGCTGGTGCCTTTCACGTCTTTCAACTTTATTTTCTATTTGACAGCCTCTTAAATGAAAACTCTCATCACTATTTCGCTCCCTCTCAACTGGTGCTATGTCATTCTTTTCATGCTGCACAAATACACCAATTATGGTTCTACAACTTCTCTATCTAACCGAGATAAATAGGAAAGAGCAGGAAGGAGCGAGTGGGAGTCAAGCAGTGGAAATTAAGTGGCAAAGGGGGTAAAAATGACCCCAGTGAGGCTGGGATCGATCTCAGCCAACCCCTGTATTTACACATCTGTTGCTCCTAGACATCTCACAGTCCCACAGCTACAGACCTGGCGGGGCCAGGTCAGAAAAGGGGGGCTTAGTGTGGGATGAAATTGCTGAGGTTTGAATGCACAGAAACATTGAGGAGATATGAGGGAGAGGGGTTAAGGATATGTTGTACAGAAGATGTAATCTCAAAGTGTCACACATTGGAGCAGATAGAAAGAGATGAGGGAGGCCATGATATTGGTGGGGAAGAAGGACAGAAGATGACAGTGACGTGTGTGAAAGACTGGTAGGTGAGGTTTGGAAAGATGAAATGGATGGGAAGAGGGAATAAGAGGAAGCAAAGCATGAGAGAGTGACAGAATGATCATCAAGAAGGTGGAGAGGGGCAGAGAAGGACTGATAGCTAATAGCATCCTCTTGCTGTAGCTTGCTCTTCATCCTTCTGTCAGTTTACGTACTTGTTCCCTCCACTGAGCTTGTATCCATGAGCACGGGAAGAGCTGCCTCAGACGTGGACGTCTTGCTCCTGTCCCGATCTTGCTCCCGGTCTCTGTCTTTCTCTCTCCCTGTGGATGAGGCCTCACCAGCTCGTCTCTGCCTGTTCTTCTGGGCCTCCATGGCTTTTAGTTTCCGCGCATGCTTGTGGCCCTTATAATGGGCTTCTGCTTGATTCTGCAGAAAATTGAGAGAAAACCAGGTTACAAGGGGCAACCAAAAAAAGTGTTTGACTCAGTGCTTCATTTGCTGGGAAGACTGTAGCCCACGTGCAAAAAAATGTTAAAATGCACATCTGAATATTCACTCTTGCAGGCATACACAGGCTGCAAGGAGAAGAGTCTGTTTCCACCTGATAACAGAACTGGCACACTGGGAGGCCAGAGGTATAATTGCATATGTAATATGCAAAAAGAGAGAGGATCCCATCTCTACAACTACCCTATTAATGTGCACGGTGAGAGTCAGCCTCTGTAAATCTTAGCCACATGTGGTGATACATACTAAAAACACAAATTTCCCTTCCGGATGGAACACAATTTACCTTCACAATCCCATCATTCCCACAACCCTGTTCAATTCGAGAACAAAGCCCCTGTTGTCAGGGCAAGCATGAATACACAGGAATAGCAGAAAAATCAATATGGAGATCATTCATTAAAACTAAAACAACCTCCAGGGATCAGCTCCCATTGGCTTCTGGCCTGCATATGATGCTGTTATAAAGGGAAGGAGCAGAATGAAAATCCACACACACTGTTGAAAAAATGTTTACAAAACCTCTGAATAATATATATGAGTAATATGTGCAGTGCAACCTTTATTAACTGAAGCATTTTGTTTATATCCACAGTGTGCAAAAATTAAGCACCCCCCAAAAACACACATTAACGGGACTATTGAGTAAAATGGACATTTTCATATCCCCTGCATTTAAAGAGCCCAGAGCATGCTATTCCACAGTTTCTGACTTACCTACAATGTTATAATGGTGACTTATCATATTAGACGTGACCTAAAGCTAAAAAAAAAAATTTGGTGTACCTATGTTCTAGTATTTCTATGCAGAAGCAACTCGGTTTATACAAATCTCACAAACCCTCAATTATTTCTAATAAAATTAAGTATTATGTGATAGTTTAAGGATTTCCTTGAATGGTCATAATCTCCAGGCAGTTGCGCATTCATGTGAGCTTGACTGAACACCAGTACCATTTTAAAAGTAGAGGTTTTCAACTGTGCCCAGTCAGACTGTGAAGCGCCCGCAGCAGTGAATGATCAGCTTATCAACGCTTGATTCCCCCGGAGCACAGAATCTGTTTGTTTTGACTGCTTGAGGCCAGTGTGTCTGCTGCATGTGATGTGTTGCTGGTTAACAAGCAGATTCTAATAATAATGATATTATTGTCAGTGCTATGCTAACTGTTGGAATTAATTTCACTACTTTCAGTGACGTGCGGTGAGGTTGACAGCTGGTGAGGCACTGACTCTTTTACAGTCAGATTTACAAATACAAATGAACCGTTAAGAAATTGTCTGTTAACAGACAATGCGTTATGTTTTATATCTCATATCAGCATTCTTCACACAAACGTGACCCATATTTAATTTGAGGTTACAATTTATTCCAGTTGAGCTTATTTCTAACTAGAAATAATAAAAGTTTATGGTCTTACCTTTACTTGTACACAAAATCCATTTGTCAGCTGGTATGTATT